TCGTCTTGACTCTAGCGCATACCTATAAAGCGTACAAACATCGGACATGGTGCGCTATACCATTCATTACCGGTGGCTTCTGTACGTATTCCTTGACTCTGGTCTGACTTGCATGCGTACGTTGGTAGACTAACATATCCAGCTGAGCCCATGGGTTATGCGTGTCGCGCAATAGCAACCCATCATACAGGCGCTCTAGTCCCCTTCCTTCTACAAGCGATCTTCCTCCTTCTTCCACCGTGTCTGTTTGCAGGCACACTGTACATGGTTTACTCGCGCGTAGTGCGAGCCACGCATGGCGAACGCTTCTCCTATGTGTCACCTCGATGGTGCACTCGAATCTTCATCGCAGGCGACCTACTTTGTCTCAACATCCAATCAACTGGGGCGGGGTTCCTTCCCAAGCCGAAATTGGTAAACGCTGGAAACGGTGTCATCGTCACAGGCTTGGGGTTACAAGTTCTTATCTTTGCCGGATTCATGTGGTGCTGCGTTCTTTTCCACCGCAAGTTCTCACTCCACCTCCGCAACACTGGCCAAACTGTCGATGTACCTTGGGAAAGTGTGCTCTGGATGCTATATGGGACTTCCGTTCTCATCTCAATACGAAACATCTTCCGCCTAGTCGAATTCATTGCTGGACACGACGGCTACCTTAACTCGAACGAGTGGCCAGTATACGTATTCGATGGCGTCTTGATGCTCCTCGTTATGATCAGCTTTTACATTTGGTACCCGCCACAGCTACAGCTCGAGGAGATTGGCACAGAGAGTATGATTGAGCTCACGAGCGAAGATAACAATCTGCCACAAAACGAGCCGTCCAGGAAGTAGCTTGGAGGATGCGATACCAACATTCGACGACCTTGTAGCCATACTGTAGTTCTCTACACTACAGTCTCTTTCAGATCAAACATAACGGGTCTTGTTTCCGCAAACTCCTTCCTCTGATCCAGTTCCTCAAACCACTTCGCCAACCCTTCGTACTTGCTTTTCCATCCAGGGCTCATGCTTCCGAAATCGATAAACCCTAGCGTACACACGACCGCAATATCAGCAATCGTCATCTCGTCACCAACGAGATATGCCTTCTCTTGCTCTCTTATACTCCGGACCATCTCATCGAAAGCCTGCATTGCGCCACTGATTTTCCGCTTCTGTCGATCGAGCCAAAGCTGCGACTGCTTGTCTTTCTCTCGGCGAGCTTCAAACCGGGCTATCACGATGGCGTCCATGCAACCCACGCTCAAGACAACGATTTGTCGGATTTGTAGATCCAAGTCCATGTCGCCAGCGATTAGCTTCGGGCCTCTGTCTGCATACTTGCGCACAATGTATTCTTGGATGTGCGCGCTATCGTAGACTGGCGGTCGACCGTCAGGGAGAAGCAAAATGGGCAGTTTCTCCAATGGGTTGTATTTGGGTGTTTCTGTTGCGCTTTGCCATGGTATCTCATTCCTGAGCTCGAAGGGTATGCCTTTTAGAGTGAGCGCGATGCGGTTCATGCGTGCGAATGGCGATGGTGTTGCTGATATGAGGGTCAGTGGCGACGTTTCTGCGGTGGAGCTGGACATCGTCGCTGGGCTTGATTTCGTAATTCTATGTTTTCAAAGGTTGCAGAGCATGCGGGCTGATGTTGATGTATGAACGCGGATTACGGGGTCGTGATGGGGTATGTATAATGTACTTGTCTAGGCGGAGATAAGCCCGCGTCCCTACGTCATTGCTTCGCAGTGATATTTGAAATAGTTCAGTTCCTCTTATCCGAAGGATCGTCGTTCGTGAACATGATGGCAGTTATCTTCAAAGACTTCAGCTTACCCATTGGTCAACCGCTTTACAACCTTCATGCCCCATCCCGTTATTCCGCCTTCACCGTCTCTCCCACTATCTCCAATATCTCTCCCATCCATACGTCTGGCTCTCTGCACACTATCCACCAGGGCTCTAATAACATCTTCTACCTCCCCGCACTCATTGGAACTAATCTCGAAATGCCGGAAACCCTGACTTGCAGCCCATTGTTCCGCCATGTCCTTTTTCACCTGCCTCTTTGATGCATCCTCATCGACCATGTCCTTTTTATTCCCCACTACTACACAACCGAACCTCTTCTTCACTCCTTGCATCCTCCCTTCTGTGCCGTCTTTGGTAAATATGGTGTTGCGACAGTGGTAGATGTGTGGATACGTGTATTTGATGAGTTCATCCCAAGACCATTGGGCAGTGATGTCGTATATCAGAACGACGCCATCAGCACCCCCAATGTATTGATTCAAGACACGGCGATATGAGGGAGATATGGAGCCCTGGAGATCTATATCCATGAAAGAAAAGCTCCAGTTGTCATCAGCGTGCGAAATGGTCCTTGAAAGTAGTTCGGAGTCGACAGCGCTGTGGCGAATAAAGTGTTTCCCTTCGAGGAACTAGAGCCAGTGTCAATACTGATGCTACTGGAGGAGAAACGACAATGGGTAATGTTGACAGGACGGTCGCATACCATGTCAATGAAGCATGTTTTGCCTGATTGGGCCTCACCTAAGACGACCACCTTGAGCGGGTTTGGTTCTTTGGAAAACAACATGATGAGACCTGAAGCAAAAAAGGAACATGCGATGTTGCCCAAGTGTGTTGGACTGATATCGCGCTGATTGTTAAGGCGTGAATCCTTCGCGACTGCCTGGTCAGGTAGCGCTAAGCTTCGAAAGGATACAAGCGGCACGTATGCCCAGAACCACGGCGCACCACCTGCATCGAAATGGGCGCGCTTTCAACGCAGCGACTGCTCTATTTCACTGCCTAGATGCTTTGCCACGAAATGGGATGCAGACACGCGTGGATTACACGTGTGTAGCTAAAGTAGCGGCCCACGCTCCCGCCAAGTCCGCGTGCCGGCAGTCCGGGATCGACGCTGGGGTCAGCCAGCAAGGCTAGATGGGCTCGACAAACGCGAAACAGCAGCGGCGTTCTTATGGAGGCTCCTCGCCCGCCTGATCATGCCTCGATGACTTCCTGGCACCCTCTACTGTATAATTGCCCCGACCCTGCCTCTAGAATTCTCGACCGCCACGACAGGAAGGACCTGCGCAAGAAACACCAAGCGCAAATGACCGCTCGGCCATAATAAAAAGGACTGGCATAACGCTGTCACTGCTTTCGCATTCTACGTCGTCGTATACAGTGCCTGTTTTCCTCGCTGTGAAGACTATCTTGAGACACGACGGCAGTGCGAGATTTTCCCCTTCGACCAAAACATCGCGATGACGTCGTACCGTGATCACCCCTATGCGCATGCGCAAAACCGCCCGCGACCCCTCATCGAGCAGATACCAGACTACCGCGACGACCTTGACGTATCCGACGAAGAAGAAGGCTTCTACGCACGCGACGACGATTTCCTGATTCCGCCAAAGTTCCAGGCGGCGATCGCACGCACAACCGACCGAATCCCCCGGCGGATAAAGCGCCACAGTGTCACGTATCTCGTAATTGCGGTTCTCTTTTTGATAAGTTGGTGGACATACTTTGGGCCTAGACACACAGCATACAGAACGGAGTTGCATCTCATGGACAACGCACCGACGATGAGCTACGGCAGCAATGTGCGGCCAGAGTTCAAGGGCATGATCCAGGTCAGCGACATGGACGAGCAGCATCTGCCTAAGAAGCACAGCAGACTCGTCTTTGTCGGCGATGTCCATGGCTGCAGAAAGGAACTAGAGCATCTCCTCAAGAAGATCGACTTCAACCACAAGCACGACCACCTCGTCATGACCGGCGACATGATAGCCAAGGGCCCGGACTCGCCAGGCGTCATCAAGCTCGCCCAAAAGCTCGGCGCTTCCTGCGTGCGCGGAAACTGGGAAGACAAGCTCCTGCTCTCCATCGCCGACGCACAAGATCGTCACGTCCTCAAATTCACTCCCGACGACTCCCCCGACGCAAACATCGACTTTGTAGACGAAGTCAGCCAATCGCACGGCGACTACAAGCTGCGCAAGCTAGCGAAACAATTCGCCAAAAAAGAAATCGAATACCTCCGACAATGCCCCGTCATCCTCCGCGTCGGCAGCGTCCCGACGTTGGGCAACCTCGTAACCGTACACGCCGGCCTCGTCCCCGACACCCCACTCGAACACCAAGACCCCTTCCACGTTATGAACATGCGGACTATCGATCTTAAGACGAGAATACCGAGTAGCAAACATTCGGGCACGCCTTGGGAGAAGTTCTGGAATCATCGCCAGGAGAAGCTGAAGCATGAGGATAGGGCGACGGTGGTTTACGGACACAACAGGAAGAAGGGTCTCAATATACATGAGTATTCTTATGGTCTGGATACGGGGTGTGTTAGTGGGGGCAAGCTGACGGCGCTTGTTGTTGATGGAGACGGCAAGACGGAGTTGGTGCATGTCAAATGCGGCAAGGAGGGCGGGTATGCTAGTGATTAAGGGACTATGGTCTCTAGGGTTGGATATGTGGGCGTTTGGGAACTATAGAATATCCGTTGGGCATTTTGGGAGTTGGTGGCGGATGCACCGTTGCCTATACATACTTCTGTCGGCTTAGCGTTAGCATAGCATTGTTGTAATATCACGTTAGATTGTTCTCTTTTCTCAATAAAGTCTTACGAAATATCAGAGTCACGGGTTGGAGAACACTCAAAGCAGCCGAGTACATTGGTACATGCATCATACGATTCACTGCGAACGAAGTTCCCGTCAAGCCAGCGAGTGGAGACGTTTATTATTAGAAAAGAATTGTACATGCTGTTGCCCGTGGTAGATGAGCGCATTGCTAGTCCAGACAGCGTGACTGGAACACCACATCCACGAAGCTCAGGCTCGTGGCAGTAACGCCGATACGTGCAGATCTGACGGCACGGAGCTGAACACCCTGAAGTGTGACCATCAGAACGTTTCTCTCGCCCAAAGTACACCTCAACGCCTCTTACAGGGCGGAAACGAAGCACCAGTGTCTCAGTAGCTAGAACTGAAGTCCTACTCCTCCATTTCCACATCCTCAACCTTCACCATCGGAGCGCCCATTTCATCACTCCCGCCCTGTATATGTTGCAGAACAGGAACATACGAAGTCATGTCGTCACCCATCCCATATACAGCGAACTGTGTAGGTTGAGTCGTAGCCGCATCAATTCTCTGGAAGTCCGGAAACGCCTCACGCTCGCCGCTATCGTAAGTGGGCCGGCGACCTTGCATGCCGGGGTGATGAGTTGGGAACTGGTATTGCTGCATGCGGTTTCGCGACTCGTTTGGCACAGTGGGTTCTCGGACTGCTTCCAGACGGTCCATGAACGCGTTGCGCTGGACAGTTGGGCCACGTTGGATGCCGGGATGGAGGTTTGCAGTTGAATGACCAACGAAGGGGAAGGCATGAACACCACGACCAGTAACCTGTGGATGACTGCTCTGCATCGATGCATTGTTGCGCTTCATCATATTACCGAGCATCTGGTTCTGCCTAGCCAACTCCGTCTTCTGGCGCTGGTTCTCGGATGTCAAGGTGTTGACTTGACTGCCCAACTCCATCATCTTACTCTCAACAATGCGGTTCCAGTTCGCAATGGTGCCGGCGTTCTGGAAGATCGGGGTCTCGCCGTCAACAATGTCGATATTGTCTTCCGAAATTTGTGAGCCAGTTGGCGATAGCGGAGTTTCGATCCCCCTGCGACCATTATCGATCATGGTTGCGAGGCGGGACTTGGCTTTCATGATCATGATGGTGTCCATGTCTCGGAGTTTGATGTCGGGACGCTCAGGATCATAAACATCGCTGAAGGTCATGTTGTAGTCGATCTTGATGTAACGATCTCGCACGTCATCGTCCGGGCCGCCTAGGGCGTATTGGTATATGAAAACCCAGTCTATGCCGTACTGCTTGCCTCGCTGTTGACAATAGTACTCTAGTCGAGGGCCGAACTTCTGCGACGCGCGGATCGTGAGGATGGAGAAGATGGGAGTGCCATTGATGTCGTATGTATTGCTATGAATACGGAGCGTCATTACGGGATCGTTCTCGTCTCCTACGGGTAGAGCAGAGCGTTGCAAAGCAATCTAAACTTGTCAGTGACTAGACTTTAGAGCAGGGAAACATTCCGACTTACTGGCTGTGTGAGCTCCCGAGTTACCGGCCCCTTCTTAGTCGGTGCAGCCGTATTCATTCCTTGAAGCTGCCCTTGTGTCGGCAAGTTCAAGTCGGCAGCTGGTTGGGCCGACGTCTGACGAGAAGGCATGCGAGATCCAGGCGCGCTTGCAAGGAACTCGTTGGGCCGGATGTTACGACGAGCAGCTTCCTCATACACCTTGAAGTTGGCGGATTGGATGGGTCGGAAGCGCGTCAAACGAGACTCAGGGGAATGCACATGGTTGAACTGGGTGCGATGTTCGTCCGATGCCTGTGGCGCTGGACGAGTCGGTATAGGCACACGCACTCCGTTGTTGTGTCGAGTTGCCATGGCTGCGATACGTCTCTGTTGTGCATTCAACTTCTTGAGCAACTCATCACCATCTATCGCAGATTGATTCAAGACCTCTCCATTCCGCCCCACAATATATGTCATAAGACCAGAACTATTGTGGATGTGTGGCCAGCGAGCCAGAGCTTGCTGCGGAGTCATGACATCGCGACCATTGTATTGTTGGCCGGGTATCAAGGGTGGTATGGGAACCTGCTGCTGCGGAACTGGGTGTCCTCGGGCTTGATCTCGCTGGACGTGCTGGGACATGAGTGTCGACTGCGGGTGTAGTGTAGTTGGAACGTGATCGCGCGATTGTAGGTGCGTCGAGGATCTCAAGCCGCCAACTGGAATTGTGGTCATTAGCAGTCATTCAAGATAAGGAGTTTTTGGAGGACACGTACTGTTCTCTTCGATGGCCATATGATACTGGGGCGACCTCTCAAGGTCAGACTGCGACGCAAACGGAGGATGCAAACGGCCAGCTTCCTGACTTGGTCCAGTGGCTGTAGTCGTCTCTTTCTTGGCAACAGCAGTTGCACGCTTGGCGACCGGCTTGGACTTTGGACTCGCACCTGGTGAGTCGGTGGCCTTACGCTTGCCTTTGTCGTCCTTGGCAACTGTGCCAGCGCGACTAGATCTAGGAGCTAATTTGTACGGCTGTGTGGGTGTATCTGTGAGCAACTCTGGGTTGCAGTCGGACACTTGTTGTTTGTGCTTGGTACATGCAAGTCCCTGCTGCAGGCAATGTTTACAGGCGTCGTCGGTATAATAGGCATCACAAGTCGACTTGTGGCCCTTGCAACATTCGTCGCAAATCTTCCAGCATGAGTCTTTGATGTGCCGCTGATTCACAATTAGCGATGTTTATCTGAAGGATATGGACGGACGACAAACCTCTATAGAGTACTTCTTGGACATCTGGGCATCGCACCGTGGACAGGTAAAGACGCTGTCACTCATGCTACCCCCGAGGCGCCTCTTTGCACATTTGGATCTGGTATCCCTTGTATGGCGCTATAGTTAGGTCAGTACGTGAAGATGAAACGTGGGCTTCTGATACGTACTTTGAGCTTCGCTTCGCTGACATATGTCTTGCCACAATACTGGCATGCGTATGGCTTCTTGGTGTCGGAACTTTCGTCCGTAGACTCTTCGCCGTCATCATTTTTGAGCGCTTCGACGCGTCCATCGTTACCTCGCATCGCGCTGCTCACTTCTAGAGAGGGAGTTTCGGGAAGTTCTGATAAAGGCGAGCTTTCTGCCGTTGGGGACATGCTAGATGGCTGAGTCTGCGCCGCACTATATATTGTAAGCATTGACTTCGAAAGGTTCGCTCGTGAATACATACTCGCACTGATATGGATCGCTATCCTGACTCCGCTCCATCGTGAATTGGTCTCAGGGCAGAGTATGAGTCGAAAGAGTGAGAGAAACCGTTCAAGCCAGAGGAGACGATATGCTCTTTATAGCAGCAGAGATATGAAGGACGTGCAGCGAAAGTAGAAGAATCGAATCATCTGACTCAGGCGCAGAGGAGTGAAGAAGTTCAGCAGGCGCGTGTGATCGACGAAAGACTTCCGTTATAGGCACTGGTGAGCAGTGAGGGCTGATGAAAAGCCTGCAACAAGACCCTGAAAGAAATTTGCAAACGCTCACCACTCCTACCAACGTTGCCTGGAGCAGTCAAAGACCGTCCAGAACCGTCAGTGCGCTCAGTCAGTGAGAGCTTTCCTTGAAGCGATGACGCAACTTGTGGTCCGCGCGTCAAAATAGGGATAATGGGGTGTTCTGATCAGAACCACCTTATAGATTTTGTGACATATTCACGAGACAAAGACCGTACAGTCATGTTGCCGGTCACTGTCTACTGACCCTAGTCAACAGGGATATCTGTCACGATCGATATGCGGACTGTGGAGATGCGTCGTGGATGCGAGATATCATTTGTATCGGTAGGAAGATGAGGCGCGTTTTGACAGGATTCTGACAGCTGTGATATAAAACTGCTCAATCCCACTGGAACACATACGAGTACACACCGGGCTCTGAAAAGCATCAGCGAAGGTGGGATAGTCTGGCACAGAGGGCTGGGATAGGTGACAAATATTGAGCCAAAGGGTTCTGGGGTTGCTGAAAATAGCCCTGAACATATTGTAGCTCATCGGCTTGGTCTTCTTGTTTGTGAAAATGATGAATGAGATGACGGTCGACATGAACTGCCATGGCGAAACAAAAGAGGTGAATTGAGATGGAAATTGACTATCAGATCAACACAAGCGCGTCGATGGTTTTGTCCTGTAGGATGCGTCCATATCGTGTACAACTTGGTGGTGAGGTGAGGTGAAGAGGGCACACTCCCCGAGGTCTGGTTGACGCGAGAGATGACGCGCCATGGACCCACTCTTGGCAGCGTTCCTACGCCCACACGGAGCAGCCATGCCTGAGCTTCTAATAACTCCACGAGACTGCTGTCGTGAACAGCGCAAGTGTTGTACGTTACATTTTTCTATATCACCACCTAGGCATGCAGGCCATGGGATGTTTCCTGGCTCTGTTTGATCAGCCCGCTATTGGCTGATCGGGCAGCTCATCACGCAGCAGCTACCGTACACGTGATTCATTCGTGGACACTCTTTCGCTACACTCATCTTGTTTGGAAGATCTACAAATCTTCTCCCTGGCTCGATCGAGATGGAGGCTTCAGGTAAATTGATGAATCATCACGACTGAATAATCACCTGACTTACCTAGGTACATACCTAGGTAGTATCTCAACGCCCCAACAACCGCGAGATCCGCGTCTTGGACCTGCTACCTGGCTGTCCCGACGAAACAATTGAGTGCCATATCCGAAACGTTAGTGTCGATGGAGATGCGCAATACGAAGCGCTATCATATGTTTGGGGTGACGCTATCGAGAAAAGAAGTCTTCAAGTGTCAGGAAGCCCCATCAACATCTCGCCAAACCTCCACGACGCCCTTCGACGTCTACGCTATCCAAACCAAGTTCGCACACTATGGGTTGACCAGATATGCATCAACCAGTGGGATATGGAAGAGAAGGCCAGCCAGGTTGTCTTGATGCGAGAAATCTACAGTAAATGCGCACATTGCATCCTATGGCTGGGTGAGATCCAATATGCCGAACATGGCATAAATGAGGCGGACACACACGCAGTATTTGATTTCTTCGAAGCTGTGGCCAACAGATCAGCAATTCGAAACGCATCAGCAGGAGAGGCCCACGACTTGTCTAGTAAAGGCGTTGACCCCGAGGATGGCCTCCCCACGCTCTTCCAAGAAGGTGCCGCAGGCGTGACGGCTCGGAAGGCCTTTGCAGCCTTTGCTATGTATGGGAATACCTGGTGGGAGCGCATCTGGACAATTCAAGAGTCAATACTGCCCCGCTCAGCTGAGTTCAGATGGGGTCCACTCTCAGTGTCACGGCGCGACATACTCCTAGTGGTACAGCATCTGCGTGGCGACAATCTTCGCTCTTTCCCACCCAGGTTTCGATATCAGCGCATTATGCATACCCCGCTTCTCCGTAGTCTTCTGTATCCTATCAATGGATTTCTACATTCGACTGATGGCGAGTCGGGGTTAGACTTGTTCATGCGCTGGCGCCATCGGAAAGCTACCGATCCACGCGATAAGATATATGGATTACTAGGCTTGCTTGATGCGCGTCAGATTTCACAGACTCTTCCACACGCTCAAGCGCGTAGCTACTCACTACCGGCATCTTTATTATTTGCAATGGTTACGAGCGATCTACTGCTATTCGGAGAAGGTCTTAGGCCTCTGATTGCATCTAGCGAGATGCCGCATGTCACCCCCAATCTACCGAGTTGGTCGATCGACTTCGCATGCTCCAACCGTGTAGGCAAGCGTCAGCTGAAGTGGTGGAATCACTCGCATCGATACAGGGAGTTTTCAGCAGGAGGTAGAATCGAGCGCGAACAAGAGCTCGAAAAGGGAGGCTCAGTACCGAAGGTATCAAGTGATTGGACATGTCTATCCTTGCCAGGTCTTCTAGTTGACAAGGTCGAGCAAGTCAACAGCGTATACGAAGTTTCTGATGAGGAGGACCTTGACTATCGGAAGATACGGGACATAATGTCGGACGCAAGGCAACTGGCGGAAGGACGAGATAGCTATAAACGTGATCCGGCACAGTGGTGCGAAGCCCTGTGGCGGACCATGATCGGTGATCTCGTCATGGCTGAGTATCCTATCGAACGAGCGAAAGCAACACACGCTTCGGAATTTCTCGAGATCGAACGCGCACTCAACAATGAAGAATTCCCGCCACAAGGCCACCAGTCTAATTATCCTCCACACGGGATGAGCGGGCTATTTGAATCCCTCTGTGGTATGGTACCGAATCATGCTTTCTTCATTACAAAGAGAGGTTACCTCGGTATGGGCCCGCCTACTACCTTGCCAGGAGACCACATCTGGGTCTTTTATAACGGCAACGTACCATTTGTCATGCGGAAAAGAAACACGGAAGAATTTGAGAATGGTTATCATGAGCTTCGTCTTGTTGGAGACGCGTATGTACACGGCATCATGGACGGTCAGGCTATCTCAGACGAGCACGTCACTCAGACAGCTCACATTTACTAAAGTGGGAGGTCTTCGCTTCTGTAATCGCATGGCATACCAATTGGTTCGTCAATGGGAGTGGGGGATATCGCACCGCCGTAGGTCTTTGCAGATATTCAAGCAGACGCTTCACCAAGTTCATCGACAGGTACCCAAAGCACCCTTGCATCCCTCTGCAGGCCCTCCCCATCCAACTGCCTCTTCACAACCACGATGACCATGATGTCTCTCTTCGGCAACGGCTTGAGATCCCACCCCAGGACTTCCGGCCTCTGAACTTCATCTGCAAACGAAACGTTCCACTCCAACTTGTTGGCTTTCTCGTGAAATACCGCCTCCCCGTCTACGAAGACCTCCAGTGACGTTGCTGGTGATGGATGATCAGAGCTACCGTAGGCGACCATGGAGACTTGGATAATGAGGCCCAAGATAGCGTTGGTTACAGCTGCAACGGACTCAATAAGAGACTTGTTTTTGGGTGGCGGGGAGAATGCCTTTCGGATGATATCGGTGGGTAGGGCGGTAAGAGGAGGCGGTATACGTCTCTTGGTCGCCCGTTCAAACGCATATGCATACTCCAATAGCTTCGTATCTTCGTAGGCTTTCCCAGCGAATGTGATGTTCACAGGCATGTTCTTGTCGCTCATGACACCCATGGGTACACTAACAGTAGGTACACCGAGATGCCTGATCGCGCGATTACCGTTGGAGTATTTTACGCCATTCTGGAGACTATGTGTCGTGCTGTCAATATCGAATTCAAGATCTGCGAGACCGACGTCGCCTTGCGCAGGAAATGCAACGACATCCAGCCCATTTTTGTCCATCCAATCTTCTAGATCGCGTTTCCTTTGGGCTTCGAGAGCTTTGAGAGCTTGCTCCATACCCTGAATGTCATGTATACTCCCATCCTGGACCATCTTGGGCAGACCGGGGTAATCAATCCAATTTCTCACTTCGAGAAAGCGATCCGGCTTGTAGCCTGGTGGCTTTGGGAATAGCATCGCAGGATCTTTGATGTCGGCTAAGCACTTGATGTTGGAATCGTTGTTGTCTACGAGAAAAGCGTTCCACGCTTGGGCGATAAGAACGCCTCGCTCGAGGAGGTTCCAGTTCGCGGGATGTCCATCGACGTTGTTCGCCTCACCTGAACGGGAGTCGTTTTCGTAATTTGTTATTAGAGGGAAATCAGTATAGACGATTTCTGCCCCCATAGACTTAATGTCTTCCGCTGCCTGTTGCCATATTGCGACGACCTCTGGTGAGACGTAAGGATGCTTTGCGTGCGGATCTGAGTCTTTCTGGCCAACGTACATCTTCGGCACCCCGACCCTCTTATCTTGCAGCGCTTCGCCGTTTCGTAGAGTAGTGTAATCGATTGAAGGAGGCTGAGGTATCTGCACATGCTTTTGTTCGCGTATGAAGTCCCCTGATGTGTCTTCATCTGGAGTAGCGATGACATTCAGTATCTCCAACATGTCGTCCACCGATCGCGCATACGGAGTTGGCACATCGCATGTGATGTACAAAGGCCACAACCCGCGACAGCTCAAGAGCCCCTTCGATGGCGTGTAGCATACGATGGCGTTGTTGGACGCTGGACTTCGTCCGCTGCTGACGGTCTCGCTACCCATGCCGAAGACTGCCATGCTGGACGTCACAGACGTTGCAGCACCATTCGACGAACCAGATGAGAACGCGCCAGTGAGGTACTTTGAGTTATACGGTGACTCTGCACGACCATACATGCCTCTCTGCATACCACCCGCAGCCAT